GCCGGCTGCTTGCAGGTTAGACCCGATCAGGTAAAACGGTGAGTCCCTGAATATTATGACCATTCAAGGAAATCCTTAAATTGTCATGTAATTCTTAATTTTGTTAGAAAAAAAGTCTCACGAGCGAGAGCTTGGGAGACTGGTATAAACCACATTGGTTCTGCATAGACATTCTAGAACATGCGTACACCTAACTTTTTGAGCTTTGGGTCATGTCTAAGATGATAATTCACCATTTTCACATTGCAGATAAATCAGAAAGCAAGGAAAGGCCCCCTGGGCTCTTTAAAGAACTTGAAGACATTGTCCTTGGCCTTAGGTGAAAACAATATTGAAGATGTCTGGTGTTTCAGTAAAATCCTAAAATAAAACATATAAATGTGAGGATGTCTACATTGTCTGGGCAGAGGATTGACCTCTTTGCAGTCAGGGATTCCACTCCTGCTGGTTTAGAGGTGAAATGAGGACTAAGGCTGGTTCACTATGAGCCAAGCAGCAGAGATGTCACATTTCTACAGTTTGTGTTCTGCCTGTTCAACGGCTGTTTCCAAAGCTGCTCCTGCACTCTCCCTGACTGATTGATTAGGTTCCACCATGATTACAGAGCACCGTGAATGCTGACTTGAGGCTCTCCATTCACCTGATTGTGTGTTTGAGTGAGAGAGAGAGAGAGCTATAGACATGGAAAAACAAAGTACAACCACGGTATCAGACTGTCAAATTCTCTTTAGGTTCCCGATGAGGGAAAAGCCAAAGTTCCCTGCTGTGCACAACAACATCTTGCTCTTGTTAGAAACGGAAGTGCCAGGCACAACGAGGTAGTGTCTTATTGGCAATTAATGCGTGGTTTACATGTGTGGTGGACCATGAGGGGGATCTGTACAGATCAGAGATCAGCTATGATCTGTTACACCAGATGATATGTTAAATGATATGTTTGTATATTTTCTAACCAGCTTCCCTTGTACAAATAGAGAACCTATTATTTTGAGCAAAGATGTTTCTGTTCTACGAGCTAATTTGTGTCAAGTTTACTGTGGCCTTAAAAGGACCCTTTTCTATTAAAGGAACACACTTCTCTGAGGAAAAACATTTAAAAAGGTTGAAATCTCTGTAACAGAGGTCGAGCTACCGACCAACTCGGTCTGTGTTATGGTTCAAGCTCCACAATCTATGGATCCCCACCCCATGCCCCTCGGGCTGTCACAGAACTGACTTGGTCAAACCTCAGGTGGTTTATGAGCCACAGACATGCTCCAAATACAGTGGTGTGACAAAGTGTTTGCCCCCTTACTGATTTCTTATCTTTTTGCATGTTTGTCACACTGTAATGTTTCAGATCGTCACACAAATTTATATATTAGTCAAAGATAACACAAGTAAACACATCATGCAGTTTTTAAATGAAGGTTTTTATTATTAAGGGAAAACAAAATCCAAAACTATATAGCCCTGTGTGAACAAGTGTTTGCCCCCCTGTCAAAACACTGGTTTATCGCACCTGAGTTCAATTTCTCTAGCCACACCCAGGCCTGATTACTGCCACACCTGTTCGCAATCAAGAAATCACTTAAATAGGACCTGCCTGACAAAGTGAAGTAGACCAAAAGATCCTCAAAAGCTAGACATCATGCCGAGATCCAAAGAAATTCAAAACCAAATGAGAAAGAGAATAATTGAGCTCTATCAGTTTGGAAAAGGTTATAAAGCCATTTCTAAAGCTTTGGGACTGCAGCGAACCACAGTGAGAGCCATTATCCACAAATGGCGAAAACATGGAACAGTGGAGAACCTTCCCAGGAGTGGCCGGCCGACCAAAATTACCCCAAGAGCGCAGCGACAACTCATCCAAGAGGTCACAAAAGACCCCACAACAACATCCAAAGAACTGCAGGCCTCACTTGCCTCAGTTAAGGTGAGTGTTCATGACTCCACCATAAGAAAGAGACTGGGCAAAAATGGTTTGCATGGCAGAGTTCCAAGACGAAAACCACTGCTGAGCAAAAAGAACATAAAGGCTCGTCTCAGTTTTGTCAGAAAACATCTTGATGATCCCCAAGACTTTTGGGATAATAGTCTGTGGACAGAAGAGACACAAGTTGAACTTTTTGGAAGGTGTGTGTCCCATTATGTGTGGCGTATATGTAACACCGCATTTCAGAAAAAGAACATCATACCAACAGTAAAATATGGTGGTGGTAGTGTGATGGTCTGGGGCTGTTTTGCTGCTTCAGGCCCTGGAAGACATGCTGTGATAAGTGGAACCATGAATTCTGCTGTGTACCAAAATATCCTGAAGGAGAATGTCCGGCCATCCGTTTGTGACCTCAAGCTGAAGCGAACTTGGGTTCTGCAGCAGGACAATGATCCAAAGCACATCAGCAAGTCCACTTCTGAATGGCTGAAGAAAAACAACATGAAGACTTTGGAGTGGCCTAGTCAAAGTCCTGACCTGAATCCAATTGAGATGCTGTGGCATGACCTTAAAAAGGCAGTTCATGCCCGAAAACCTTCCAATGTGGCTGACTTACAACAATTCTGCCAAGATGAGTGGGCCAAAATTCCTCCACAGCGCTGTGGAAGACTCATGGCAAGTTATCGAAAACGCTTGATTGCAGTTGTTGCTGCTAAGGGTGGCCCAACCAGTTATTAGGTTTAGGGGGCAAACACTTGTTCACACAGGGCTATATAGTTTTGGATTTTGTTTTCCCTTAATAATAAAAACCTTCATTTAAAAACTGCATGATGTGTTTACTTGTGTTATCTTTGACTAATATATATAAATTTGTTTGACGATCTGAAACATTACAGTGTGACAAACATGCAAAAAGATAAGAAATCAGTAAGGGGGCAAACACTTTTTCACACCACTGTATATATTTATAGAGATAGGGTGAGGAGCTCTGTCACCCGGGAACCTGGTTCCTCATAGTAACTGCGAAAACATCCCTGCTGTAGCAGCTGCTTTCTGATGTGCTGACAACAATGCCCCCGCCGAGGCTTCAGCTCTCCAGTGTGTCAACAAGAACACCCATGCCGAGGCCTCTGTTCCTGTCCCTTAGCAGGTTGGCTGGGACGCCGATGCCTTTGTTCCTGTTTCCAAGTGGGTCAGCTGGAAACAGGCCGTCCTCCTGAGCAGCCTCTTGTCTGGTCCCAAGGTCATCTGCCAGAGTGGTCTTCATTTTGTGCTGGGTCCCGCAATCCTCCTCTGGATTGTCCTTGTTCCCTGCCTGGTCTCTGTTACCCCCAGGGTGATTTTTTCCCATCTGCATTGTTTTGCCATTTAGTTCAGATTCCTGTAGTGTTTTATTTTTTTTCCATCCATCCATCTTCCTCCGCTTATCCGGAACCAGGTCACGGGGGCAGCAGTCTAAGCAGATGCCCAGACATCCCTCTCCCTAGACACTTCCTCCAGCTCCTCCGGGGGGATACCAAGGCATTCCCAGGCCAGCCAAGAGACATAGTCCCTCCATCGTGTCCAGGGTCTTCCCCGAGGCCTCCTCCCGGTGGGACATGCCCGGAACATCTCCCTAGGAAGGCGCCCAGGAGACATCCGAAACAAATGCCCGAGCCACCTCAGTTGGCTCCTCTCTCTGCAGGAGCAGCGGTTCTACTCTTGAGCTCCTCCCGGGTGACCGAGCTCCTCACCTTATCTCTAAGGGAGAGCCCTGCCACCCTGTGGAGAAAGCTCATTTTGGCCGCCTGTACCTGGGATCTTGCCCTTTCGGTCATGACCCAAAGCTCATGACCATAGGTGAGAGTAGGTTTTTTATTTTTTTTAATGATCTTGTATGAAGGCCACGATATGCGAACCCCTGGACATAGAAATAAAGCTTACCTTTCACACTATGGTGGCATATTTGAAACATATTAAAGCTCCAAACAGTGCTTGAGGTTGTATGACGGAGATATTCACTCAGTAATTGACTACCATGAACCTGCGAACAGAGTTCCCTGCAGACCTCCCTTTTTGATGTTATTAATTCAGGATAAGACCCCAAACCTCCAAAATAAACCTGCAGTTTACTGTGGCAGCTACCCCCTTAACCCTCGGATGTTACCGTACTGAGAAACTTTTAAAAGCCAGGATACTCTGGCTTTTTGAGAAAGTGTTAAATTTAGTCTGAAATAACCAATGAAAGCTGTGTCAATGGACACTTAAGACCATATTTGTTTTGCACAGTATTTAATTGACCTAAGATGTTATTAAGGATAGGACATTTAAAAAATAGTGTATATGATGTAACATGTAAATACTGGATATTTTAGATAAAATCCTTTTCTGATACAACTTTCTAAACACCACCTCCCTTCCGACAGCCAGCCGGTTTGTACGGCATAACACCCGAGCAACAAGCCCAATCAGAAGAGTGCTGCTTGTGTTGTCACCGTGAGGTATCCACAGCCAGGCAGCTTGTTAACACCACTGGGTTGCCACTGCCTGTTTTAAGGTTGTACTATTAATACTATTGATTGTTAAACTATATGATTAAACTGTCCAAAAATCTTTCCCTCTCGCAGCCAGCCGGTTTTGTATGGCATAACACCCGAGCAACAAGTCCGATCACAGAGGCACTGCCTCTCTGAGACACTGCTGAGAGGGTCGGCATACTACAATCAACACTGTGAATTGTGTAATCGAACACTCACTGTGAATTGTGTAATGTGTGCAACTTTAACAATTACCACTTAAAAGTGTAAACCCACTATTATAAGAATCAGCATCATCAAAACCCAGGATAGGATATTTAAAGAACAGTGTACACTATGTAATAAGTAAACAGTCGGATATTTTAAATAAACCCTTTTCTCATGTATCGGTCTAAAAATCATTTTAGCAGTTCAATCTGGGCCTTTGGTCAACCCTGTGAACTGTTATGCATCCTCACACACTCTCTAAGACTTAGGTAATCACACTCACTGGGAATTGGGTAACCAAACACTGTGAAATGTGTGTCTTCCCCATTACCACTTTAAAGTGCAAACTCACTAAAATCATAGGAATGTCAAAGGGGCTCTCTCTCCCACGACGACATCAATCCCCCCTCACAGGCCGAGCCTGCGGGGGAGCACCCCTAGAGGGTGCCTCCCCCATCTAAATCATCATGACAGTAATATGACTAAATTATATCAAAGGACAATTGTATGAATGTGACTTGATCATGTTAATTTTGAAAGTTTAAAATTGCAGTTGCATAACTGTTTGAGAACAGCACCTATGTATGTAGTAATGACACAGCTCTTTTGGCAGAGAAAACATTGCTTGAGATAGGTTATTTAAAAATGTTTGTTTTTAGCAGGAACAGTAAAGTATGTTTTCCAAAGACGTGTGCCCTTCTTTTGTTTTTAATGGTAATCATTATTTGTCATCAAATCATTCATTAGGCTGATTTTTCCTCATACATTTACACCATGCTGTATAATGTACAGTGAGGAGTGCCACATTGATGCACTGCCTTTGTCAGGATTTGTAGACTCAAAGAACGAAATTACTTTGCAACAAAAGGAAAATAATTTTACTGAAGTGGTAAAAGCAATAATAACTGATAACTCATTGTCTGTTCTGTTCTGTTCTGTTTGTTAGCTGAGGTCCTTGTAGTCCAGCAGAATGGATCTTTTCAATCAACTTACAACTCCTTGCTACCTCGTTCACTATTGGCTCCTAGCCAGGGGAGAGCAGAGATGGTGACAGGAGAAACATGGTTGTCACAGGCAACAAGACGAACAATGGTTACTGATGCCTTTGGGGAGATGAGGGATATTGACTCCAAACGAGAAGATTATCAACATGCCCAAAAGGTAGAGACTTATATATTTGGACTGATTCAACGCCGAGCTTTACTCACACGGCCCTCAAAGCCCCGCACTAGCTTGGCACATGATACCCAAGCTGTCAGTATGGTGAGGCAGACTAATTTATCTTGCAAGGAGGACCAACATTCACCAAAGCAGGTGTCTGTTCAAATGATCTCTACTCTGTCCCAGTGTTTAGAGGTATCTGCACCACAGGCTTGCCATAACCTAAATCTGGAGCGTTGCTTATTGACAGAGTTTACTGAAGATGCCCCAGACCCATGCCATCACCTCCAGAAAAGTGTCCAACATCAACCAGGGTTTTGTCACAAGCCCAGACAGAACCTCGTGATTAACACCTCCCGCTCTGCCTTGCTGGACTATCCATCTTGCAGAGTACTGAAAGCTCAGCCAGAGTCCAGCAATAGTGAACGTGATTCACCTGAACACTTCCACAACTACCCTTCCCCTCCAGCTTTATTAAAACCTCACCAACCTCTTGCTCCCGATGAGCAACTGGTCAATGCAGAGTATATTCCAGCCCAGCCCTGCCGAGCCTCCACCAGAGCTTATGCTAATCACCACTCTAATCCCCATAAAGGCTCTGGTATGTCCAAGCACAACCAAAGCACATTTTCTCCAGAAAGAGGTCATCATCAAGAGCAGCAGTCCACAGCATTTCAGATTCAACCCTCAAGATGCCGAGGGGGCCCTAAAAAGTGCCGTTCAAATGAAGACAGAAGTGGTGCCAGCAGGAAGCTAGGGAAGAAGTCATATAGGTCTCAGTCAGAGAACAGCCTGCAAAGAGTTCCAGAGCACAAGTACAATACAGTAGAGAGGGATGGTGGAGGAAATGGAAGTGGTGGAAGGGGAAGCCACAGTAGTCAATCCAGGAGCAAGAAACAGCAGCAAGGAACTGTTAGTTATCGGGGCTGTCAGTCTACCCTGGAGCTCAGCCAAGACGAGGCTGACCAGCTACTCACCCAGGCACCCATACAAGGTTCTTCAGCTTCAAACCAAAGAGACCACTGTGCAAGGCGCACACGTAAATCTCGTTCTGCACATGCAGCATATGCCTACCCACACCGCAACCACAACCATCATCAGCACATGGAGTACCAGTTGAGGAAGGATCAAGTGCGACTGTGTCAGCCTACTGAGGACTACATTCACCCAGTTCCAGGTGAATCTGAGTCCAGCATGAGCGAGGCTGACTCTCCTGATTCCAGTTCTTTGTCCAGTGACTCAGATGAAAGTGGTGGTTTGGTTTGGCCCCAGCAACTGCCCCCTCAAGTTTCCCTCCCATCACCTCTTGCCCCACCAGAAGCACCTCTGCAGCCCAAAGCTTTTGTCAAGATTAAGGCCTCACATGCCCTTAAGAAGAAGATCCTACGCTTCCACTCTGGTTCACTGAAGGTAATGACCACTGTGTAAAGTAGAATACTGGTCTAACTAAAGGAACATGACCTGCAGAACTTTGGAATATGTAAAATGATGCCCCACAAACTGTAGTGAATATATACATCAGTGTGTATATAAAAGTACTATGAGCTTGGCTGAGTGAATTGACTAGATTGATATAGAATATCCTTAACACGAAATGTATTGGAAATTGTACATGAAGTTTGTATTTCTCTAAAATTCTTAACACACTGGGGGCTAATTTTCCTCACACATTACCCGAGAGTACATAATAGTTCATTCTCACATGGTCTTTGAGGTCACAGTGAACTGAACTGAATTTTTGACCTTGTACAGATGAATCCCCAATATACTAATTATTTTAAGGAACATAGGGTGTTATAGAAGACTGTTTACATATTCTTATTCTAAGCCTTCTTTAATCGATTTTTGTGTGGCTTGGTTGTACAAGTGTCCCAAGTCAGAATCACCAAACTGTCTTATACAATATTTGTGTTATGTTAGTCTGACAAATGCCACCTGTTAATGTTTAACTGTGTGTTTGTGAGATCTGATTAGTACTATAACACCACCAAACTGCTGCAGTTTTAAATGCTTCATTCACAAAAATGAGAGAAAAAACACTTTCACATTACAGACCTTAGAATCAGGAATTACTCAAATACATTCATTCATTCATTCATTTTCTACCGCTTAGTCCCTGAACGGGGTCACGGGTGGGGCCGGAGCCAATCCCGGCCTACTCAAATACATAACTGTGGTAGTGTAGTGATTGGAGGATGTAGTAGATAAGTTTAATAGAGTAGATGTAGTAGATAAGTTTAATAGGTTCTTTGTGAATGTTGGTCCTGGTTTAGCAAGAAGCATTTGTACAGATGATACATTTGTCACTATAAATAATAATACAATCGAAAGGAACATGAGTTCTATGTTTTTGAAGCCCATAG